TTCTGCCAGCCTGAATAATTCTTCTGCATGTTTGTGTTTACACTTCCTCCTAATCTGTTTACTGCTATTATATCCTCCCTTACTGACGTTTAGCCAAGATACATCTATCTAACTCTTTTTAATCTTGATTCCTAAATCCATGTGTTCAGTCCCTTATTATTATTTTTTTTAGAGGTGCACCAATATATCGGTCGCATATCGGAATGGCACCAATAAAAGGAAAATTAACATTATCGGCTATCAGTTTTTTTTGGCCAGTGTAGCCAATAATGTTACCAATAAATATAGTATGCATTGGCGATGTGTAGGGGGTGCATTCAGGTGCACGTGCACCCCGTGAGATCGGCTGTGCACCCCCTGGAAGTGCCAGCCACAGAACTGGAAGTGCTGGCAGAAATGTACTTCCAGTTTTGCTGCTGGCTCAGCTATAGTATGCCCCCTGGCTGGGGCCCCCAGATACCATGTGTATGTGCACAGCCACCATGTACATGACCAGAAATGCAGCTAGGCAGCGTGCAGAGCAGCACCCTGCAGGTAAGTCAGTGAAGGGAAGAGGCTTGGGGGAGATAAGGGGTGTTGGGGGGCAGATCAAGGCCCCCACAGTGAGGGAGGGAGGGGGGCAAGGGCTGGGGCTGGGGGTGCTGCTCAGCCAGGGCAGTGAATGGGACCCTGGGGCTGGGGTGGGGAGCAGGACAGAGCCACAGGTGGCTCATCCAGGGGGCACAGGATGTGTGGGGAGGGGGGTTGGGTCCCTGCTGCTCCATGCACCCCTGGGGGAGGAATGGGGGTGTGTGTGTATGTGTGCCCCCCCCGATTTGTGCATGGAACAGGCGGTGGGCTTGGGGTCAGGGGCAGTGCCAGCCTCTTCCTGGTGGCGGGGCTGAGCCGGGGCTGGGCTACACACTCCTGGCCTGAGGGACTGCAGTGAAGCCTCGCTTCAGAAACTCCCGAGCCCCGTCTGTGATGATGCTAGTGTGATCTGAGCCTTAGAAGAGATGCACAGGGCTGGCAGATCCCTGCACAGCACAGCACAGCACAACACCCCCAGATGCCCTGTCATCCTCTGTCAGCAGGGAGAAGTGGATCCCCCCAAGTCATGTTGCAGGTCCTAACTTGCCCTGCACTGGCAAGAGCTGGGGTATGGGCTGGGTGATCCTGGCTCATCACTGCTCTCCCTTGGCTGAGTTCCTTGAGAGGCAGAGCAACCTCGAGACACAGAGGATGGTGCTCACTGAGAGCTGGCCCCAGAGACTGGAGCAGGGTCCAAGGCTGCTAAGTGGGCAGATGCCTCCTTACTTTTCTTGATGATGGACTGATCCAGAAAGTTCATCCTGACCTCCTCCACTGCCTGCAAGCAAAGTGAGGAGAGACAGCAAGGTGCTGCTGCTGCTTGGGCACTTTGCATCACCCCAAGTCAGTGCTGTCAAGCTGGGCTGTGACCCTGAGCTCAGCATGGCCAGGAGCTATCCCTCACTCCAGGACAGCTCCTCCCACTCCCTGGAGCTTGACAGATGTGGCCCCCTGCTGCCTGAGCTGACAAGGAGCAAATTGCTCCCAGCCAGTGTCTACATGTGCACTATGCCGCATTAAACTAATGCGCCATTTTCTAGTACTTGTCTCTGTCAGCACCAGCAAATGGCATATTAGACTAATCTAATACATATTAAGTGCATGTGTAGATGGTGACACTTTCCTTAAAGTGTCTCGTATAGACATATCCTCTGTGAACACAGTTCTGAATTGCACAGGGTTGTTTGGTTTTTTACCAGTCTGCTCAGTTTATGTGGATAGCAGATTTGAATCCACATTCTTCAGTTATATATCATATGGATCCCACTGTAGAGATGCATGCATTCCCTGTCCACAAGGTTAGATTTTAGTTATCTCATCCCTTATGGGATGGGGCATGGGTGCTGTCCATCATTTCCTGCCTAGATCCTATAGGACTGAGAGGTTGGATTCTGGGTTTCTAGCCTGCTGTTTCTCTCCAGGCTTCTCTTCTAGATTAATTTAGTAAATAAAACCTACTTCACCATCCTTAATTCTTGAGTTTTTTGGATACCCCTTCTCTCTCCCCTTGCCCATCAAGAAAAAAAAAATGTGCAGTGCACCTCGCACCTGTCACTGGAATAAGTGGCTCCCTGATGTTTGGCAGGAATGCCTACTCTTTATCTTCAGTGAGCAGCTCTGGAGCCATTATGGGAGCTTCCTCTACCAAGGCACCACCGCAGTAGAATCACCTGGTATTGAACGATGCCAGCCACAGCGGGGCCAGTATCCTTTATGATGTCACCCCAGATGCCCTGGTGCTATAAGGGACAGTCATCTCAAGTCTCTTGCAAGAGATCTCCCTGCCATAAGTCCAGAAAGAGGGGAGTTTGCTCTTCCTCTCTATCCAAACCACTGATAGTAAGTATATCCTTTGCCAGCACCCACAGAACTGTGAACAGGGGAGGAAAGGCAGCATACCTGGTCTGCACCAGGGTGGAGAGTCATCCTCATGGGGCTGCCATGCCTGCTTCTGCCCTGACTCAGGTTCAGGTCCACCCAGGTTCAGGATTGGTAGATATGGCATTGCAGGAAAAATCAAAATTGAGGAAAAGTGCCCCTGCAGACCAGGACTCTAGAAGCCCACACCCCTTGGAGGCAAAGAGCCAAGCCATGTGCCTCATTGCAACTCCATGCAGCAAACTACAGGAATTCTCTGCAAAACAATATTTCCTGACTCAGAAGGGGAGGAGTTAGGAGGGCTTATATTGCCACTTCGACTAGGAGAGTAAGAGAGCATCAGGCACTTGTTATTTGAACACCCATGCTGGATATTTTATAGGGACAATACGTTATTCATTGTTCATACCTTAAAATAGTCTCAGATTTTGATCTAAACCAGCGATAAATCTATATATTTTCCACAAATCACCACACTTGGCTCTGCAAGAAAAAAATACTCACAGTAGAGGTACCCAGGATTTTGCTTCATTATATTGACAAGACCAAACCATTTGGCTCAACCCCTTCTCTGTTTGTAGCCATAAATGAGCCTTCTAAAGGTCAAGGCATCTCTTCACAAAGAATATTGAAATCAATAACACAGTGTGTGCTGCTATGTTACTCCTCCTTGAACATCAAGGCTGTTTCTGCCAGAGCACAAATACTTTTGTGGGGTGCCTTTGAGCATCTGCTAGCCAGGAATTTTAATGAAAGAGATTTATGCTCTAACTGGGACATCTTTCTTTATTGCTTATGTGCTTTTTCCCCTCTTTGGAGAGTCCAGACATTTTGAAGAAGCAATACTGTGAGGGATACATGGTGATGTAAGTTTTGGGGGGAATAGAGCTGTGCTTGTGGCAATTGATTCTTTGTTTCAGTTGAATGAGCAAACTGCAAAACAATCTATAAAGAAAAAAATACATTTTTGGGAGAGCTAAAATGTGAATTCTCAATTTTATGTCAAAATGAAAAGTCAAGCATATGCTTAAGGAAATATTGCTTTAGCTTTCTAGTTTGGGATTTTTTAAATTTAAAGTTTAACTACAAGATGGTCTTGCAAAATGAAACACTGAAAGATTTTGTTTTAGAAATATTGGAATGAAAAGATTTTATTGGGGGGGAGGGGCGGATTTTATGGGGGATTTTTTTACCCCAAACAATTGGAATTTGTCACACATTCCCAAAACGTTTTGGCTGGCCCAAATCTATTTATTTTCATCAACAAGAAAATGTGTCATTTAAAATGTTTTTCCCCTTTTCTATTTGGGCTAATGGGTGGGAAGCAAAAAAGCTGGGACTATGCTGCTGTGCAACCGTGATTGCAGAGCATGGTCTGTTAGTGGAGAGAAAGTTCTAAATGATTCCTCAAATGTGCTGGTGTTTTGCCTGCAGTACAGTAAAATGGAAGATGGCACAGAGAATGCCACTTGAGCCGCCCCCCGCCTCATTTTAAACTGCTTAGTCATACAAGATAAAAAGACATGCAATTAAATTAAAGTCTTTGGGGCTCCAGGCAGGCACAAGGGTTTGCCTGCTCAAAGCTGCTGGCTAGATCATAGATTCATAGATGTTAGGGTCAGAAGGGACCTCAATAGATCATCGAGTCTGACCCCCTGCATAGGCAGGAAAGAGTGCTGGGTTCAGATGACCCCAGCCAGATGCCTATCTAACCTCCTCTTGAAGAACACCTTCAAGAGCAAATTGGATGCTTATCTTGCTGGGATCCTATGACCCCAGCTGACTTCCTGCCCTTTGGGCGGGGGGCTGGACTTGATGATCTTCCGAGGTCCCTTCCAGCCCTAACGTCTATGAAGTCTATTAAATCTATGAAATCCCCAGGGTACGGGAGAGCACCACTTCCCTTGGGACCACATTCCAGATTTTGGCCACTCTAACTGTGAAGAAGTTCTTCCTAATGTCCAGTCTAGATCTGCTCTCTGCTGTCAGAAGAAGGGGTTCAGTTTAGGTCAGTGTTGGGATGGGATACAGACAGCAAAAGCCCAGCATAGGTAGGTGTCTTTCCTGGAAGTGCATGTCAATCAAGTCAAGTCAAGTCAGTCCTGAGGCCGCTGTGACCATTGGGTCACTTTAGATGCTGTAACGACTCTCCTCCACTCTGCTAGCTTTGTGCACTCTGTCAACTGAAGCCCCATCCAGTGCTTGATACTGGTTCCCCAGCTCTTCTTGGATCTGCCTTTTTTTCTCTTTTCCTCCACAGCACCCTGCATTATGGTGTTGGTCAATCAGTGTTCCACAGTGGTGCAAGAAGACATTGTAGGGTGCTGATGTGCTCTGTTAAAGAGGAGCTCCCGGAGTGACTGCATTTCATTAACAAGGAAGTGACCTGTGGGCGTACAAAGAGTACACCTCAGACTATAATTGTGATCTTGAAGCCATCAGATGCGGATGTCACAGCTGGTATTCATAGCTGCACATGAGGACACTTTGACCTGCATTGCACAATGCAATGCATAAGTTTTTATTTATGCATGTATTTATTTTCCATCTAGGCCTTGGCCGTACACAATATTCCAGCGCGGATTTGACTTGGTACTGGGAGAGCAGCCTTCTGATAAGATATTTAGGTAAGTTTGTTTGGTTTTTTTAAGGGTCCCTAGCCAGATTCCCTGGGCCAGCATCAGTCTTGCCATCCAACAATAGATCCCCTTCCTTGTTTCTGTGCGATTCTGTGATGCTGTGGAAACATTAGAAGGAGAGAGCTGCTTGGCCAAATGTGAATAGCATTGTGGTCTGTTTTGACTGGACTAATGGATCTTCTTCAGCCACATCAAAGTTGCTTTGTTAAAAACACTAATGCACTGACTGAAGTGAGATATTATGGGGGTACCTACGTATGTCTCCAGTTGAAGGTAGGCAGGATGTGGTCTGGGGTAGAGCTGATTAGGTTTGCACATGCAGCTGTTCTGCTCATGCATTATTCCTTTTTTACTGTCCTATCTGGGCCCTGCCTTTGTAGCTCTGAAAAATTCATGCTTCTGTTTCCCTAGTACATGGTTGCACAAGTGTTTTTTCTTGTGCTGAGGAATTTCTGCTTTCCAGGTTCCCTCCCGCTGGGTTCATTTCCACACACACACTCCTCCATGGTGGGTATCTCTCTTGCCTAGACCTCACTTGTTCCACAGTGGACATGGAGCATATTCTGCTCACGAATATTCTGAAAACCACACCTTGAAGTCCTTTTTTCTGTTTGGCCATTGCACAGGTGACACTCCTGTACAGGTCAGCCAGATGGAATATTGCCCCAGAAAGCACTTCTGAGGTTGGCCCAAGGGGAAGAGGGGCCTGATCAGGGACCACAGGAGTTGCCCTTAGCAAGGAATGGCCTCTGGAAGGCCTTGTTTTCTCTCTTGCATGCATTAACAAGTGTGCACAAGGATGGGAGAGGACAAATAAGAAGAGCGGGGGGTGGGGGGGAATAAAAACAGCAGAGGATACCTGCTGGTACTGGATGAGGTAGCAGATCAGGGTTGTGAGCACTTGGAAGGGGTAGCAGTGGGTAGAAGAAAGGAGCCTGGGTTTTGTTTGTCTATATGCCAGTGAATCCTTCTGTGAATCTGGACAAATCTCTTCCCTTCAACATGCCTCAGTTCCTCCGTTAGCAAGAAGAGGATAGTAATAATAATGTAGGGCTCTGTAAAGCACCTGGAATGAAAAAAACTAGGAAAACTATTGTAATTGTTCCTTTAATTGGACATGCTGCTCTTTTCCCACACTTTTGCCCCCCTTTTCCTCCATTTCCATCTTTCTCCTACTCCCCCACCTTTTTACGTGCATCCCTCTGGAAGGGAAAAAGGTTTATAAACACTAAGCTGGTGTCTAATAACGAGCCTGCTACTTGGAATGGCTTCCTCAAAACCACCGTAGCAGCGATGGCACAAGGCAATTATCTCATATGCTTCCACTCCAGCAGAATCAGAGGTGCCAGAGACTGCTGGGACCTCATTAGCTGAGTATTTAGCTCCCCTAGGACCCAGCATGATGCCTCCTAGCTCCCTGAATATTCATTGATCCTGTGCATGTTGCTTTTTCTCAGTGCGCTGTCACATTGCTGGCTTGCTGCTGGGAGCAACGGGCGGGATGCGACAGTTTGCCTCCAGCATGGGAATGAGGGAGGTACTATATACACACAGCTCGGGTCCACAAAGCATATGCCTGTCCACAAAACATACACCTCCAGTGCTTCATGATGTACTCATGTCATCCTGTTGCACCCATTCTGGCATCAGGGTGCTCTTTTGTAGAGCTTACTCTGTCCCCTACCTGTATATATAGGCTGCTCCCTTCTTGGTGGGATTCTCCAGCCTGTGGGAGCTTGGCTTTTATTCTGAGTGGGTCTCAGCATTTTCTCTGCAGTCTCATTGCTCAGGTGGCCTGTCAAGTGCATCTAGGTCTATTCCTTCAGCCAAAGTCTGGGGTGCAGGTGGGTCTAGCCAGTAGGAATTGGCTACCATGCCAGAGGGCAGGAAAATAGGTTACTCTTTAATATCACAATTTGATGCCACTATGGAGAATTTTGGTCCAGGCATTCAGGACCCATGGTCCTAGGGGACTTCAGTGCTCTTAGGTTTCTCACTTAATGGGAAAAGAAACTATTACCAAAAAGAAGAACCCTCACCACAGAGGACACAGTATTCACCCAAACCCTTACAGGGAGCAGGCTCTGCAGAGACTGCCATCTGAATGGGTGATGGACATTGGACTTCCCTCTTCTATTACAGGAGAGATCTGTCCAGGGTGGCAGGAAAAACCTGCAGTGCCAGCATTCTCCTTTGTTGTGGAAATGAGCAGAATTGTTAACAGCAACATCCTATACCTGCTGTCTCTCCAAGGCAGAGAGTATGATTGCTCCTCTGCAACAGGATGATATGCCATCTCTGTAACTAGCTGAATGGCTCTTGGCTAAGACCCCTGACTGCTTCTGTGCAGTCATGTTGCCCTCTGCTGGGGAACATAGGAATTGCTCTACAGTAGCACATTTTTACTCCAGGGTAACGTTTTTGCCAGTGGTGGGCACCAGTTGCTTTTGAGTAAGAGCACTTATGATGTCTAAACTTAGGGTATCATGCCCTCATGAAGTGGTCCCTTTTGATATCTATCTGCATAAGCATGGGTTAAGCTCTGAAGCAGGAGGAAGCTCTTGCAACAATAAATGTCTCCTTTATTTTGTACTGAATCCAAGTAGCATCTGGGTGCTTGGGGGACGGGAAGGTGTGGAAGGAACAAAGGTACATGTTCCCCTGCGTACTAACTTGCTTAGTGTGTTGCTCACATGGGTCTGGTTTTTCTCATTCAGCATTTGCGCCTGCCCACCGCTGTTCCCTTTTGTGTAGTCAGGGTGAATAGCTGGCCCTCCTGCAGCCCCTGTGCTCATATCCACCTAGGCTGGCTTTTATCTCACTGGCTCTAGGACACACTGAGCAGAGAATGATTGAACTCCTTTGAAATGAGTGAATAAATAAAAGAATAATCTCTTGCTGTTCCCTTAAGCTCCCTGCCAGTACACTGATGGATTGATTTATTTTGGGGCAGGGAGGCAGGGCTGCAGCTCCCCAGGTGCACAGATGGGGCATCTCTCCATTCATAGTATCTGACAGAGGTTATTGCCTACAGAAGTTCATGCCTCTGAACCATTTAGTCACTCAGGTGCCACCCTGCCCTACCTTCTGCTGTGTGAAATACAATAGGAGCCCCTGTCAGGATCAGGCTTCGCTTGGCACAGTTTAGACAGCTGGCCTTCAAAGCTTGCAATCTAACTAGCTACATGAAGAATCGTTTAACCCCATTTTGTAGATGAGGAACTCTTACAGAGACTGAGGCTGGGATTTCCACAGGAAATAGTCACTTGCTTTCAATAGTATTTGGAGTCTTCCACTGACTTGCTTAGAGATCCCAGCCTCAATGACTTGTACAGGGTGTCAGTCTTTGGCAGACCTGGGAGCTGAACCTGCATTGCCAGAGTCCTGGTCTAGCACATTGACTATATTGCACCATTTGTGTTCTTCTGCTCCTGTCCCTTCTCAAACTTCCTTCCCCTTCCCCTTCCTCCCCCCTCCACTGCCTCTTGTAGTTTGTAGGTGCTACAAACTCCATAATAAAGCAAAGAGCCTGCACCCTTTCACGATGTACCTAGCCTGCCTTGGGAGATAGGAAGATCTAAGGGACAGTGCATGTGATGCATACTCCAAAGATCTGGGTTCAATTTCTAGCTCAGCCACCAACTTTCTGGATCTTCTTGGGCATATCACTTCATCTGTCTTGTTTCCAAGTTCCCTACCCAGGAAATGGAAGCACTCACCTACCACATGAAGCCGTAGTGAGAGTAGATGCTTTATAACACTTCGGTACATATCCAGGTTTTCCTTCCCATGCAGTTGCAGGGGTTGGAACTGTATCTGAAGTCTATCCAGCTGCTGCAATGAGCAGCAGGAGTGTTAGTCAGTGTTTCCTGTCTTTGCATGCACTCACCTTCCTGCTCTGGTTGAATGTATGAGGGAGTTGCTACACTTTCCTAGTCATTGGTTCTCACCCTGGTCTCTGTGTGCTGCTTGGCAGGTTCACGTACACCCTTGGGGAAGGGATGTGGCTGCCTCTGAGCAAGAGCTTTGTGATTCCACCTGCTGAACTGGCCATCAACCCCTCTGCCAAGTGCAAAACGGACATGACAGTGATGGAGGATGCAGTGGAGGTCAGGTGCGTATGTCCTTGAGCTGGAGGCAGCAGGAGCTAAGAGGGACATAGTAATGTGGGGTGGAAGGTGGGGATCAAATGGACAAGGCAGGGTTTGGCACTGGAGGAACAATAGCACTAACCACAGTGTCTGCATCATTGTTCTCCTCCAGTGCAGCTGCCTGTTCCATAAAGACATCTGGGATGTGGGCTGTTCCTTATAACTTATAGAAGCTGATGAGAGTTTCTCCACTGTTCTCAGGGGGCTTTGCATAAGGGCTATATTGTGTACATCAGACCACCTTTTACATGCATGTTTCTTGGAGAGAGTTTAGTACCTTATTCACATCATGGTCTCCAGTGCCATGTTTGTTTACACACCAGAACTAACCTTCCAAAGACAATTTTTTTGTTCCCCATTGGTTTTCACATTGTTCCAAATCTACCCCTTGGGTCTGTCTTGATTGTCAGCTCATAGGGGTTAAAGCTAGTTACCTTAATATGGTTTTTTACAGACTACAAAGGACTGAAACTTCTTGGGGTCATGTTTCAACAGTGTTGAGTGTTGCATTTGCAACTGCAAGCACTTGCACTTACAGTAATTTCTGTAATATGCATTTTATATATGTGTGTGTGTGTGTGTGTGTGTGTGTATGCGCGCCAGCAAATAGCAGAGGGCCCTGTTGCATATTGGGAGTGTAGCAGTCAAATTGGCACTTGCCATCAGTGTATTTTTGTACCAAAAATGGCCACGCAGCTGTGTATCACAGAAGGTGCAAATATGTGCTATTGTATGTGTGAATGTGTCTTGTGGTGTCTGTACTCATTAGCACTTTATAACGAGTGGAATGAAACATACTATGTTCAAGGGCCCAGGTTCCTTAATATGTACCTTTTCCTCTTCTTGCAGGGAAGAACTGATGACCTCCTCCTCCTTTGATAGCCTGGAGGTTCTCCTGGATTCGTTCGGACCAGTTCGGGATTGCTCCAAGGACAATGGTGGCTGCAGTAAGAATTTCCGATGCATCTCAGACCGCAAATTGGACTCCACCGGTTGTGTGGTGCGTGTGTCCTATTCAGAAGCCAGTGCTTGTTTTGTTTGTCTTTTATGCAATAAGACAAGTCAGGGAAATTGCCAGAATACTTTGCAGAGGGGAGGGGAGTGAAACCAAATCAATCCATCACTTTACAAGGTACTGCTTTGCAGAGGGTTCTGAATAAGCAGACAGAGAGCCTGCATTACAGCTTTACTTCAGCTCTCCCAGCAGCATCTGACTCATACATCAGGTGCTTTTTCCTACTTCTTACAGTTCTCTAGGAGTCAGTACCAGGGGAGGTCTGAATCAGGCATTCTGCTAACACAGTCATATTAAGTAATATAAAGCTGTCTGGGGAGTACTGCCCCCTTCTAACTGCAGATATTCTTACACCTCAAAACAGGACAGTATAGATAGAAATGCCAGCCTGTTTCTAAGTCTTGGAACTTGGTTGGCTTCTTTGTTTGCCTTGAGTCTAAGTTTAGAGCTGATGGAGGAGCTGCTGGTAGCCATCAATCTAATGCGGGATCAGCAACCCCTGGCACATGTACCAGAGCATTGCACATTAAGCCATTTTTCTTGGCATGCCACAGTTGACCCCAGCTCTGGGTGGGCTGCTGCTGCCCACCATAGACCCTGGTCAGAGCCTGGACTGTTCGCAGGTGGCAAGCAGCCCAGGCTCCAAGGTGGGCTGCAGGGTACTGCCCAGAGCCTGGGCTGCTTGCAGCAGGCAGCCGCAGGGCTGTAAGCAGCTGCACCAGGGTCCAGAGCCCCGGCCCAGCTCATTGCCGGTGGTGGCTGCACACATGCCTCAGGGAGCACAGTGGGGAAGGGACTAGGGCTGTGCTGCCACAACAAGCATCAGCCCCTTGAGGGTTCCTGCCATGTGCCCCGGCATGTTACCATCTTTCGTGTCAAGGTTGCGGGGTTTTTTGGCACTTGGCCCAAAAACGTTGCCAACCTTGATTTAATAGCCGTTGGAGATGATCTCTTGCTCAGTAGCACTGGCCTTGGGGACATGGCTGTTGGGAGAACATATCACCAATCAACAGAGCTTGTAGAAAAGTGGGTGGTTCCTATTGCAGTGCATGTTACATCAATTTAGCCCATATGAGTCCGTGTTTCCCAACCTGGTTCCCTGCTCCAGGGACACTAGCTTAGTGCAAGATGGGAAAGAAGAACAGTAGCTTCAGCAGTTGACCCCAGGTCCTCTTGGCTGTGGACTTGCTTCTGTTGCTACAGGTAAATTAGCAGGTGGCTCTTTGGAAGCCTTCCAGCTTTCTTCCCTGGTCCTGTGTCCAGCTGTAGAAGCAATACAGGAGAGCAGGAATGGGCAGCAGTCTGTTAACCCGATCTACCTTCTGTTCCTATAGTGCTGCTGGGTGTCCCTCGTGAGAAACAGTTTGTAGTTTCTGAGCAAGTTAGGGCTTGGAAGGGCTGAGCTGTCATGCCAACGGGTGGAGGAGAGCACAAGGAGACAGATGACGGTCAGGGGTAAATGATCAGAAAAAAGAGAGAAAGTAGACAAGGAGAAGTGCTAATGGCAGTTGTGGCAGGCATGGGAGAAACACAGTGTGGTGGGAGAGCTGTGTGTGTGTGGAAGGGCATTGCCACTACTCTGTTTTCAGCACGCCATGGGGCTGTGCCAGAGAAAGTGTTGCAACCTGTGACCGAGGAGAGAGCAGTTCCATAGCAGAGAGATGGTTTTTTGATAGCCCCTGATGGAGGTTCATGAGTGGCTCTCCTGTGTATGTTTCTGGTGGCCTTGGGTTGAGCATTGCAGCCCTTCTGTAAGGAAGGACATGGTAGCTGGAGTGGATACAAGGACTTTTGCCAATCTCTCCCCAACTTGGGGATGATGGGTGATGGTGTGAAGCCTTAGTGTCTGCCACACACCAGAAAAAAGGGTAGCGTTGGATGGATATTGTGAACCGTTCCATCAGGGTATGGCTGAAGGGCCTTGCAGAAGCAGGAAGTCAAAAGGATCTGGCAGATGGATCCATGTGTTGGCAGAATGTATTCTAGCAGGGGTAGCCTGTTACCTATTTGGAGGTAGGGGGAGGTCGTGATGGAACTGGCAAGGGGGCAAGCCTGGGCATCTCCACACATCCCTCCCCTTTCTCCATGATATGCCAATACTCTCATTGTTGCTGTCCCATTGCTTGTAAAAGGGCCTTGTTTTAGTGTTTTCAGAGTGGGGGAAATGCTTCCTGTCTGGCCTGCAGATGAAGCCTCCATCTCCCCCGTCCCCTTGCCATTTTACACACAGACGCCCACAAAGGGCAGCAGAAGCAATCTGTCTGCTGTAGAAGCAACCTGTGAAGCTGTTAAGCATGTCTCATCGTTCACACCCTTCCCCAGTCACCTCTGCACCTGCTCAGCTCTGGGAAAAGCACTCTGCCAAAGACTGATGTATTAATGGGGTTGGGAAAGTGGAACACGCCTCACACCATGACCTCCAAAACTTCTGCCGAGGGGCTGCTGCTCCCAGCTGCACAGCTCTTCAGAGGCAGAACCAATGCCAAGTGTAGGTGAGCAAGGAGACAGCAGCTGAAACCCAGCAAGGGGCATTATAGCAGTCAGAGATGGAAACATCCTCAGAGGTCCCCTCTGGCTTCCTTCTCAGCCCCCACAGCTTCCCAGGGGCCATCCTACTTATGGTTTCCCAGCCCTTTTTCTTAAATCACTCTGGCAGCAGGCACTGCTGCCTCTTCTCCTGGGAGCCTGTTCCACCCCAGGGCCATCTCATGGCTAGAGGGTTCTTCCCTTGATTTTCTCATGACATTTCCCTTGGCTGGACATCAGCTCAAAACTTGTAGTGTCAGCTTCTTGGCCTACCCTCAGTGACAGCATAGATTGGTGACACAGAAGGAGAATATGTAGAGAATGAGGAAAAAGGGGAACTGGACTCAGGGGCAGGTGAAGATTCTTTGGTCTGTGACTGAAGCAGGATGCACCACGGTGAGGCAGCATATCCAAAAGCACTCGCTGTGCTCTACAGTACACCCTGTCCTTTGGGTTTGGCTCTGCCTTGCTTACAGCGAGTAACCATGCTTTTCAGCTAGTCCCGTTGGGACTCATGGTGGTATAATATCCCCTATGTAACCACCTTTCGGATCTTGTTCTTCCACTGGTCCTCTTTGAGTTGTGTATCCTGGCATCATCGTATGTGCACTATCACAGCATGCCGCAACAGGGCCCTTAGGGACGATTGCAACCCCAACACGGCCTCTATGGCTAGCCAGCATCAAAGGAATAATAGGTTTGCAAAGAATGTCCTATGGTGCCAGGATTCAAGACAGCCCATCACATTCAGCACAGGTAAAAACTGGTGTGGGTGGGTGGGTGTGTGTGTGCGTGGGGGGGTGG